CGCTGCCGATACATGGGGCAAACCAAGCTCCTCCTCAAAGTATGATGCGTCAGAGTCTGCAGCTTCAGAAGCAGACCGATTCCTTCCTGACTTTGTGGTGGCTTGGATGCTCCTGCAACGCTCTGGTCTCGATAGCACAGAGCGAGGGGCTATCATCTCCAACCTGAAGAACCAGTTCACCACCAGTCAGGTGAAGGGTGCTCTCCGCCTTGCCTGGCCTGCTGATGATTTGAAGAAGCGGGATAATCTCCGGGGCTCTGCGCTCTTTCTGGAGGAAGATGAAGCACTTCTTTTGGAGGAGGACGATAGCCTTGGTGAGGACCTGATGAATGAGGCCGATCAGGAGCACTACTCTTACCTTACGGCAGATGTAGAGGTTGCTCTTCAGGCCTACAATGGGGCACGGCGGACCTTGAAAGAGGCCAGAGAGAAACAGAGCTTCTTCAAGAAGAGTCGACAGTTCTACGGTTCTCGGAAAGACTTCAACCCCAAGCCCAAAAGTGAGACCAGCTTTCAGCGCAAGTGTTTCAAGTGTGGTGGACCACACAGTACACATGACTGTCCTCAGAAGACATCTACATCCTCTGGGCAACAATCTGCCCACCTGGCATTTCAAGTGCATGGCAACTGGAATGAGCCACGGCTACATCATGCCCAAGTCGGGCATGAGCATGGGTTGACCTTGGCTCAAATTCTGGACGAGGGCAAGGCTATCATTGACGGAGGAGCCACCTCCTCAGTGGGTTCGGCGGATGCTCTGGACCAGATCCTTGCTCTCCAGGAGGCCAAGTCATGGACTCCACAGGTGGATGTGGAGCTGACCAACCAGCCGCATTTTCGATTCGGCAATGGCGGGCAGAAACAGTGCCTTAGTACAGCCAAGCTGAATATTCCACTTGGAGGTGCCGAAGGCACTATGAGCATCCACGTTCATGACATCGTAGGTCAACCAGTTTTGCTCAGCATCGCTGCTCTCCGTGCATTAGGAGCAGTAATTGATTTTTCAGAGGACGAAATGATTTTGAAGCGAGTGGATGCATCTCGAGTCATCAAACTGGAGACGACGCCGGGAGGCCATCAGGTGTTTCCCTTGACGTCGGACATTTTGTCAGAAAGCATCCCTCGCTCCAAGCCTTTTGTGAGTTTGCGAGACATTTCAACCGAATAGGGACATCACCCTCCTCGGCCAAATGGATCTGAACTGGAGACCTTCGTCTGTTCGGAAAAGGCTGGGGAGGGAAGTGCAGAATGGAATTTTTCAATTGTGCAAATCCTGTTCAGTTCTGAGTATTCCTTTCTTGTTGATGATTTTCTTTGTGAACAGTTGGTTGAGTTAGGTTCGGGTTCGTCGATGTCGTCTGTGTGTGTTTGCTTTGGGAAACAAGAAAACTTCCTAACTGGGATATCACCAAAGCCCGGGCACAAGTTAGATCGTGAATCCTGTGATCCTCCCGAGTCCGCCAATCATGCCAGCAATGTCCAAAGCTCAGCTGATCGAGAAGATCCAGGAGTACGGCGAGACTCCTCCCTCTACGTGGGGCAAGACCCAACTGGAGGGTCGGCTTGCAGAGTTGAAACACCTTCACCAAGTCGAAGAAGGGTCACAGACCAAGAGCCGTGTAGCCGAACTCAACAAGGCTGCTCGCAAGAAAGATCATCTCTTGGCTTACATGAAGGACAACAACATCCAGCACTCGGGACACGAGACCATCAGTCAACTCTTGGCTCTGGGGCACCGCCACATTCTGGAGACCACCAGTCCTCGGGGATCCGATGCCATGGGCTTCGGGAAGCATGCCAACCTGACCTACTCGGAGGTGGCCAACCAGGACTGGAACGATGTACAATGGATGCTGACCACCTGCCAGGAGGCAGGAGGCCTGAAGGGCACCAGCGATTGGCGCCTGAAGCGGTTCATCCAGTGGTACACTCATGGTCAGAAGGGCATCCAGAAGCCGGCAGGATCATCCAAGAAGGTCGAGAACAGCAAGGATGTCAAGTCTCAAGGCTATGCTCCAAAGACCTATGCGATGAACTCGCCCCGCCAAGAAGAGAAGACGGACTCCTCATTCACGGTCATCTCTGCTCCAGTTCTTCCAACCGAGACCGAGGAGGAGATGGAGACAATCTCAGAGACAGAGCTGGAAATTCAACGCCTCGAGGGCCAACTTCGCGATCTCCAGCGTGCCAAGAAGGAGCGCTCCAGCCGTGCTGCACCTGCGCCTCCTCGGGCGGAGCCACAATGAGTGGTGACTTGGAACAGTCACCTGCATATGAGCTTCATCAAGCATTGAGCGCTGCGGAAATTCGTTTGCTTTCAAATCAAGCCAAAGACACTGTACTTCAGGCTTGGGAGGAAATGGTTGATCATAACCGATTGTTTTTGTTGGAGGTTTGTTGTGCGGAAGATTCTGTTTTGACCGACCAATGCCAACAGATCTTTGGTGAAGGCACCGCTGAACGAATCGCTCACTGGAATGGTGGGGACATAGAAACCTTCTCCGGACGACAGCACATCGCTCAGTTAACGAAAAGAAGCCAAAGGTCGTATGGATATCGCCCGAGTGTGGCCCCTTCAGTCCCATACAACACTTGAACATGAACACTCCTGAGAAACGAAAAAAACTCAAAGAAAAACGTCGACATGCGATTTTGCAATATGAGGGAGCATGTCAGTTGGCTCAGATTGCTCATGAAGAGGGTTGTACCTTTGTGATTGAGTTGAGTGAGAAATGTGAAGGTTGGTCACAACAATGTTTCAAGGACCTAGGTAAACAGGTGATGGTGTTCGAGGCGGTGTGTAAGGGTTGTCAGGTGAATCTGAGGGATGACAAGAACCACCTTCTGGGAAAAGGGTGGAGAATGAAGAGCAACAATTCCAAACTCATGAACCACATGAATCTTCCTTGTAGCATGGACCATGAACATGGCACGTGTGAAGGGGAAATTAGTGTGTAGGAGCACCGCGTTCTATCCCCGGGAATTCGCTCGTCGCGTGCTGAAGAGTGCAAGGTTCAAGGAAAATCATCAAGAGCTTTTGGGGGAACTGTGTGATGGTATCGGAAACAACCATCCCAATTTTGACTTGAAGGAGGACTCTTTCTGTTTCTCCCTGACCCCTGAAGAAAAGAACAAAACCCTGCAGAACATCAAAAGGATCCATGTTGCGACTGGTCATTGTAACAAGGACTATCTCTATCGTGCTTTGAAACGTCGAGGTATCGATGAGGAACGATGTAGGCTGGTTCATGAGTTTAAGTGTGACATTTGTCAAGAGACCCGTCGACCGGCGCCTCGGAACAAATCCACCTTGGAAGACCTTCCTCCGAAGTGGACCAGGTTACAAATGGACAGTGCTGACTGGCAACATCCTGAAACGGGGGAGACCTTTCATTTTATTCTAGGAGTGGATGAGGGATCACGATTTAGGGTTGGACGGTTCATGCATCATGGACGCAATTTCTCACCATCCACTCAGAACCTGATCCAATTTTTCGAAGCGCATTGGCAGCCAGTGTTTGGAAAACCCACCTCAATTCGTCTCGATCCGGCTGGCGCGTACCGAAGTAATGCGTTGGAACAGTACATGTCCGATCGTCACATCATGATTGACACAATTCCCGGAGAAGCGCATTGGCAGAATTCGTTGGTGGAGCGGGGTATTCAATTTACCAAATCCATGATGACCTCCTTGGCTAAGGAATACCCTGAGATGGCTTTCCAGGAACTTCTGCCGAGGTCTCTGTGCGCCCAAAACAATCATGATCAGTACTTGGGTTTTTCTCCTCTTCAACATGCGTTTGGACGAGGACCGGACTGTTTGGGACATTTGAGTCATGACCAAATGACGGACATTCCTGTTTTGACTGAATCCGGAATTTCTGCCGAATTCGGGGAAAATGTGAAAGCTATGATTGAGGCTGAACAAGCTTTTCACAAGGAACAAAACAAGGAACGACTGAAGAGAGCTCTCTTGTCTGGGCATCGACCTGCCTTGCAAGTGACCCCAGGTGACTTGGTGTTTTACTGGCGCCTTCAAGGCTCAGGGACTTTTAAGAGAGGTCGGTTTTTGGGACCAGCGCGTGTCCTAGCTGTAGAGACTCGAAGAGACTCCGATGGCAGTCAGCG